TTACAGAATACATTTTGGGGCATGTAATCTGTAATCTGTAATGGAATACATTTAAAAGTAACCTTCCCAACACTGCTGTTTCCTTTGAATTCATCATTTTACTCACTATGTGCTTACACATCACTCTGAATGTAATCATTAGTTATTATTAATCTCTGGCTCTTTTCCACACCATGTTTTGGTTCTGTCTTTCTCCCCTCACAACCAAGCAGTTGTGCCAGATGGCCCCGCCCCTCCCTGACTCTGGTTCTGCTGGAGGTTTCTTCCTGTGCAAAGGGAGTTTTTCCTTCCCACTGCCACCAAAGCTCTTGCTCATGCTCGTAGGATTGTTGGGGTTTTCTCTGTTTTATCTCTATTTGTGGACACCTCAAGACAATGGTTGTGGTGATTTAACACTATATAAATAAAACTGAAATGAAGTGAACAGAACTATGCGCACGTACGCGTGTACACACAAACACACACACAAACACACACGTATATAATGACATGAACATCTAAGTCCTGTGTTTCCACCTTTCTTCAGTGTGACTCCAGCTGTTTCCCATATTTGTGTGATCAGCGTGACACCTCTCTGGCTTTTCTGATTCAGACCTGAAGCTCTCTCATCTGTCCTTTATGTCTTTTTCTCCTCTCTATCTTCCCCTGTTTGTTTCATCATCTTACTTCTGGACGTCCTTCTTTTGTTGCTTGATTTTTCAACCCCACCTCCTGGCCACTGCAGGGTTTTGGGTTTGTAACATTTGAAACCAGTGCAGATGCTGACCATGCACGGGAGAAACTAAATGGTACAATCGTAGAGGGACGAAAAATAGAGGTGCTTCCTGTCTCCCTTTACTCCTTTCCCCCTCTTCTGCTGTTCCCCTTCTCCTCCCCTTGAATCTCTTTCCCTTTTTCGCTTGCCTAATATTTCCTGACATACTCCCCACTTTCCTCACTTACTCCACCCCTTTCTTCTTTTCTTTCATCATTTCCTCCACCTCTCTCCCTGCCTGCTGCACCTTGAACGCTGCATGCTGAACCTGATCCGTAAGTGTGCGTGTGTGAGAAAGACACGATTCAGCACTGTGGTAGTGTTTTTGATGCATTTGCCTCCTCTCACGTATACTTGAGCCTGTGCCATGTGCATGAGTTTTTTCTTTGTTTTATGTGTTTGTGTTTTATTTAAGTTAGAAATATGTATTTTACAGTATTTTCCCACTGCTAGTCCTTTGCTCCTTGTTAAAACTATTCTCCGGTAGTTCCTTATCCTTGGCACCTCAAGTTTAAGTTTCACAGTCTTTCCACGCTTTATAATTTTCCGTTTTAAAATATTTAAGACTAATGTCTAAACAGGAAGTTCTTCTAGTTTGAAAATACTGACTTGGAAAATCTGTCTGTTTACATCCAGTTTGTTGCAAATACTTGTAACTGATATTCGGGCAGTTGCATGAAGGGTGTACTCTGCTGAGGGCGAGTTCAACTTGTTATGCTCTTAGATAGAAACGGGACCAGGTAAAAATAAATCACAGATGATATTCAGGCTTTAATCTTCTTCCCTGTCATTACAGTTTTCTCTGAACTAGAAGATACATAATGAAACAACCACAGATTACTGTAATGTGTATAATGCCAGCACTGAGTCAGAAACTTCCGTTTTCTTCAGAATCAGTTTTCAGGGCTGAACTTGTCCAGCATTACAGGTTTGGTTGTGTGGAGCAGCCTAATACTGTTCAGACAGTCAGATGCATGTGATCAGTTGACAGGTTAGTGGGGATAGAACGGGACTAATCTCCGTATTCATAAGTGCGTTCTTGATTAACGCGAGTTATATCCTTCTACAGGAATATAAGTCAGATGTTGTTTAGTATTACAAAGCAGTGGAATTAGCAGCATGCAGATCAGAGAAACAGGAACAGTAACATTATTATGGAAACTGCATTTTGAAACATAAATAATCCCAAAATATTTTAAGATATGACACTGAAACAACAATTTGTTTTATAAATTTTTCTCCCTGTTGTATTTTTTCTTTTTCTTTATCTGATGTTGAATGTTATGATTGATTCTTTCTATTAGACTGAGTGCATGTACCCTCACTTGTTGAATTGACAAAATACCAGCATTGCATGGAGAGTGGTTTTATTAGCAGTTATTAATTGTAAGCGTTTTGCTTTTGTGTATGTTTAATTTTGTGTATCTTACACTGTCTTATTATACACCTTTTTTGTCTGCTGACAGGTGAACAACGCCACCGCCAGAGTAATGACCAACAAAAAGATGGCAAACCCTTACACAAATGGTAAAGTTTCCATTCATGTTTTTACCACTCTCACTCTCAGTTGTCTGTATTTTCTTCACTGTTTTTAACAAGAAACGTTTTGAGCTGTTTAAGAGGAGAAGTAAACAATTAGCCTTCCATAGACTAAGCTTGAGTGGACTGAAGGTTAAATGATACAGATAGGCACCAGATTGTGCCTTAATGCCAAACTGATTAACATTTGATTAATGAAACCAGTATTTGTCAGGAGGCATTTTGCATTAAACCAAACACAAATAGCAAACTGAAATCTAAGGCACGTATGGACGGTAAAAAGGTAAAAGAAGAGAGCAGCAAAGAGAAAGGGCCATCAGAGCTGAGAGGAGCGATTTCAAGTAGAAGGAGAATGTGGTACACAGCATGATGCTGTGATAGATGACACAGTGAATGGATAAAGGAATAGAGCCAATAAAAGAGCCAGGACTCATTCGTAAACAGGGAGAGAAGGGCCTGCAGAGTACATGCTTCTCTCCTCCATCCCTCACACACACGTTTGTGATGATGGAAGGAGAAAGCACTGAAAAGAAAGCAGATAATGGGGGGGGGGTCAGACGTGTTACTATCTACAGATACACCACACCTCTGTCCTATTAGTGCAGAGCCATAGAGAGTGAGCCCTGACATCACGCATCTTTATTGGTAGTCTCTTCAGTCTGTCACCTCAAAGTCTTTTGCTATCAAGCCCACTTCACATTTACCATCAATATGTGTGGCTTTGGATCACCATGTGTACAGACACGTCCAGCATGTATGCTGGGGCGGTGGTGGAGGTGGGGTTTGCACAGTGTTTGTCTAGATCACAGGTGTCAAACTCCAGCTCGAGGGCGTCCTGAAACTTCTGCATGTGTCCCTGCAGCAACACATCTAATTAAATTAGTGGGTCATTTAGAAGACTGTAGACTCTGCATGCTGAGGTGACCACGTTACAGCAGCTCATCACTGAATGAACACGGTGCAATAAAAGTACATTTTCCAAACACTTAACATTTACTTAAATGTATTTAAATTTACTTGAGTAGGGTTAGGGGTTGGCACTGCAGCATGACCTACTAATATTGTTCGAGGACTGGAGTTTGACACCTTTGCTCTAGAGGACCATCCACTGTTTGTAAAGTCTACAGTTTGATCAGATGCATCAGAGGGGTCAGATCACTCATGCATCATCAATCAATGCATCTCATCAATCATGCATCAGATCACTATCTTATTCAAGGATATTTGGGGGCAGCCAGGGTTTGAACCAGCAACCTCATCTACTTTCTGCGCTACAATCAGTCACCCTCAATGTCTTTTTTTTAGCAAATTAACTTTGTGTACAATAATTACTTTTTCTTTTTTCATTAGGAACATGAAAGAAAGATGACATTTGTGATAAAGAAAGATAAAGAAGAGAAAAATTTACCAAGAGTTACCGAGTTAACTGATTGTTTATCACCTTACACCATATAAAGAACACTTAAAATGCTGCCATCTGGAGGCAGAGTGATAATGTTTATGACAGTCCAGATAAGAGAGTTCACTATACAATCCATCCATCCATTTCTACTCCATGTTTGGATCACAGGGACAGCAAACAGGGAAGTCCATCTCCCTCTCACCTCCTCCAGCTCAAACGGGAAGCTGCTGATTCCAAAGCCAGCGAGAGTTATGGTAGTCCCAGTAGGATCCCAGTAGGACATGGCACTTAGGAGGTGCCAGGGAAGATTGTCTGGTCAGATCCCCAAACAGCTGCACTGTTTAAGTCCCTCCATAACGACTGAACTCATCACACTCTTGCTAAGAAAGAGCTCAGCCACTCTTTAATCTGAAATCTAATTTTTTTGGCCACTTTCCAAAGCTGTCATGGTCCGTGGATCACTGACTCGGATTTTTGAGTTTTTGGGATGTTTTAGGTTTTTTCTCATTTTTGATTGTTTTTGTAGTGCTCCTGTTCTATTGGTTCGTTTTATGTTTGAGCTCCACAGTCTTCGGTTCATGGTCTTTATTCCTGGTGCCTCTCAGTTGTATTATCCATTTACCTGCTGTGTATACAGCATGTTGTCTGAGTCTTCCTTTGCTCTCCCTCTTGTATCCCTGTGTCCTCCAAGTTTTGCCTCAGAGTTTCCACGTTTTTCTAGTTCCAAGTTCTGAGTTTCTTCCTTTTCTGAGTATTTGTATTTTGCATTTCTTTTAGAGTTTCTAAATAACAATAAAGCCGTCTCTTTAAGTTAGTCTGTTGTCTCGGAGTCCTGCAATTGGGTCCTACAGTGCCTGCCACACAGCTGAACAGCTTGTAGTCATTGTTGGCAGTTCGAATGTAGCTTGACCAGTAAATCAGCAGCTTCACTTTCATGCTCAGCTTTCTCTTCACCACTACAGACCAATGCAGTGGCTTCAGCTGTGGCCACAATCAGTCTGTCAATCTCCCCTTTCCCCTCACTCATGAAAGAAATGCAAAATACTTAAACTCCACTTGGGGTATCGGCTCCTCTCTGGCCTGGAGTGATGCCTCCGCTCAGACACTGAGCTATGAACCACTCAGGTGTGAGAGCAGAGAGGCCTCCACCTGGAGAAGGCAACAGAACCTCAGTCCTGGCAGAGTGTTCGCAGAAAGGATTTAACTTATTTTAAGCTGTGGTTGGAAAAAGACTGAATAGTTCATATAACGGAGCAAAACATGGTAAATAGACTGCTTCGTAAATATGCTATAAATGCTTTTCTAGTCTGCATTAGCACTCAAAGCACTTTATACAACTTGGCTCATTCACCGAAGCACTTTTTATTTCTATGGAAGTGCATTCTAGCTAACAGTCACACTCCAGTGGATACAAAGAACACCTTGAGGTTAGTACCAGGGACAACCTGCTCTGCCCCCTGTGCTCCAGCCAGGTTCCTTCTGTGCAGTACTGCTGTTCACATGTTTGACCTCATCACCATCCCAGGACTACCCACTAATCACTCCTGCCAGACATTCTTATTTGTCTTTGGTAAACAAATGGCTCCCCCTGATTGGTTGTTGCTGGAGCACTTCAGAGGCATGAACTCTCACTGGTGAAAATAATGAGTAAATCAGGCTAGGACACACACATAAACATACGCATCACCACCACACACGACGAGTGCAATATTTCAGAGCAACACATTTGTATAAACGTTGCACATCTGCATAGTTGGTTTGTTTAGATTTGTTTTTATTGTCAGCAATTATTTGTTTTTATTGTTTTTATTCTAAATGCTGCGACCAGAGAGTTGCTTCTAATTCTGTTGAACATCCGATGTTTAATGACAATTAAAGGGTTGTGATTCTGTTTCTAATTAATGATGCATTTGCACTTACAAAAGATAAGAGCAAAGTGATTCAAAGGAAAAGGTTTGTTGTATAGCCCCAGAGAGGTGCAGCTTCATGCAGCAATGCTAACGTTTATCCTGTGTGTGGTTTTGCTTGCATGTGTGTCTCCTGTGCAGGCTGGAAGCTGAATCCAATGGTTGGAGCCGTATATGGTCCTGAATTTTATGCAGGTAAAAGAAAAACAATCATACAGAGATCAAGCATATATAGCACCAGCCACCCTTTTTTAATGTACTTCCTTATGTGTTTTTTTAATGAATGCTATATGTGACCATCTACCTTGTCCGCTAAATCCAATCTAAAGGTTTTGTTTCCATATATGCATGCCTAGCTGCATTCACTTAGTGTTGGTTTGGGTGTGTTTTGTATCTTGCATGTGCAATCTGGTGTGTGTATGTGTGCACCTGTGTTTCACTCTTCCTTTAAGTTTTGGCTAACATATATATAAACCAGGGTTGGCTAGCAGCGTGTTGTTTTTGATTCAGATACACAACCGGTCAGATGTTTTAGAACACCCCAGTTTTTCCATTTATGGTATAAAGGTAGTGATGTGGTTTCTGCAAAGAAAGTCAAAGTGTCAGTGAGTGCAGTTCCCTTCACCATCAAGCGCACTGAGGTCTGCAGACCCAAAGACACGACTGAATCAGAGGACAAGTTTCTGAGAGTTAACAGCTTGTGTGATGGCGGCTCACAGGACGACAGCTTCAAGCAGCTTAATAGTGGTCGTAGTGAGCAAGTCTCAGTTTCAGCTGTGAAGAGAAGACTTCAGGTTTGACAGGACGAGCTGCACCAAGAAAGCCATCGCTAAGACGTCAGAATAAGACAAAGAGGCTTGTCTGGGCCATGAAACACCACCACTGGACTACTGAAGACTGGAAGAAGGTGTTATGGATCTCCAAAGGCTGATTCTGTTCATCTGGACGTAGCGTTTTGTGGCAGAAACGTTTTGTCACTCATCCAAGTGACTTCTTCAGTCTCAGCTGACTGCTGCCAACCAGCCCACTGAAGGAACAATGGGCTGGGAGGTCAGTTCCTTAATCATAATTATGCAAATTCTCATGACCATTGATCAACAACCACTTATCAATATCCATGAGTCAAGGAGGGGGGCCTAAGGTTACATCTGTCACCATCTTACAATGCTGTGATTGCAGCCATTCCCCAACTCTCTGTGAATGGGACTCATGGACATTGATCAGTGGTTGTTGATCAATGGTCATGAGAATTTGCATATTAATGATGAAGGAACTGACCTCCCAGCCCATTGTTCCTTCAGTGGGCTGGTTTCAGTCATTATGCAAATGTCCTGTTTATAAGGTTGAAACCTGCAGCTGAGACTGAAGACGTCACCTGATGATGACGAAACGTTTCTCCCACGAAACGCTACGTCCAGATGAACAGAATCAACTTTTGGAGATTTATTTTCCTGGATGGTTGAGATGCATCAAGAAGGTTTTATGGACTGATGAAATCTTTGGTACATCACACAGGATCTTTGTACGCCGTCGTGTAGGTGAAAGGATGGTTCCACAGTGTGGGTCTGAACTTTGGCATCAATTCTTCAAAACTATTTCAGATATATAAGGTATATAAATTTAACTCCGACTCCACATATTGCTATTTTTGGCAAACCACCAAACAACCTTCGTATCACAGCTATCCAAAATAACCTTGTTGCCTTTGCTTCTCTTATTGCCCTTAAAGAATTTGTTGTGTAAATCATCTCAGCCACCATTAATCAGTCTGGTTACATGACATCCTAAGACTTCAAAAACTGGAGAAGATAAAATTCTCTCTCAGAGGCTCGTCGGATAGATTTTTTACTTACTGGAACCCGTTACTTAAATACTTAGAAAAGTTACCAGCATGAGAAATCTCTTTGTAGTCCACCATATGACCGTGCACAAATTCTCCTGCTG